TCACTGTCACACTGCACAAAAAACTGGGACCTTTATGCTAAATATGCATGGGAGACTCAAAAAGGTTGTAGGGTAAACTTCAAACATAAATTGAAACTACACTGCCACCCCAAAATGGGACACAGACATGTATTTATATTTTATTCATATGACCGGCAACATATTTGATTTGCTGACCAGATTTAATAATAAATCTCTGTTTCACAAAATAAGACAGTGTAACATATTCCGCTAATAAACACTGGCAAGTTTCACGGCAAAGGCAATATTACACAAAAGTATATTAGTTATTGATGGAATTTTCTGATACACAAATATGGAAGCAAGTAAAAAATGCAACTAAAAAATGTAAAAATTTTTTTTTTTTTTTTATGTAACTCAAGTACAAAAATAATTCCCTCTACTCAGTTTTTGCTCCACTACTATGTCTTTTCCTCACACTTCTGTGTAACTTCCAAGTTAGTGGCGGTGCTTGTGGTCAACCAATAATCAAGCTGTCACTGTAAGCTCCTCCCCAGTAGTTTGTATTTGAACGAAAGGTGCCTAGACTAGAGTAGGTACTAATGAAGAGTTTGAGAACTGACTCCAAGGAACTGCAATTGGGCTGAGTTCCTGCGGTGTGAACACAACAAGTTTCTGGTTCTGAAAAAACGTTCTGATTCCAGGAAAAAGTTTCTGCGGTGTGAAAGTGCCTAATATTTTTGCTCATTGGTGTATGAGCAAATATGGTGTATTCATACATGTATTCTTTCATGTATTAATGTGACTGCTTTGTCAGTGACTAATGGACTACTCTCTCTGCTTCCCTTTCAGTATGGCTATGCCCCCAAAGGCTCATCTGTCATCCTCTACAGGGAGCAGAAGTACCGTCATTACCAGTACTTTGTGGCCCCCGACTGGCAGGGGGGCATTTATGCCTCACCTTCAGTGGCCGGCTCTCGTCCAGGGGGCATTATTGCTGCCTGTTGGGCCACTATGATGTATATGGGGGAGGACGGATATGTGGATGCCACCAGGAAGGTCATTGAAATAGCACGCTTCATTGAGGCCGAGTAAGTGCCCTGTAGGTGTGAATGGACTTATCCAGGGAAGGCTAAAATCCATGTACCCTATATCATCAACTCTTACCCCAGTGTGTGTGGAGGGACAGTGTGGCCCATCTTCCACTCTGTTTATTTATCTTCCATAGGATCCGGAAAGTGGATGGTGTATTTGTCTTTGGGAAGCCAGAGGTCTCTGTCGTGGCTCTTGGTTCAAAGGTCTTTGACATATTTCGGTTGTCCAATGCTCTCACCTCCAAAGGGTGGAACCTTAACACCCTGCAGTTTCCATCAAGGTAACATCCAGGACTTTTTTGCCATACTTCAACTCCGGTTGGGTATAAATGTGTTAATTAGTTAGAGTTAATGGTGAAATAATCAGTATTCGATATAGATTGGACTAGTCAAACCATTTACTAATACACTGAAGTTCTGTCCATGCCATACTTTTGTCTACAGTATCCACATCTGTGTGACATTACTGCACACTAAACCAGGGGTGGCCACGCAGTTTATCAGGGATGTCAAAGAACAAGTGGCAATCATCATGAAGAACCCCAAGGAAAAGACCACAGGCATGGTGAGCAGAGGGGAGGACTCATGGGGATGCTTCAGAGATAGGGGGGGTGGGGTGGGAGTTGGGGTTGTTGCATTCATTTAATCTGATAAAAACAGAATGAAACTTATAGATAAATGTCTTGGAAGGTCCTAAATGTCACCATTGATATTGTGACATATGGCACATTTTACTCATGTTCTGGATAGTTGGGGCTGATCTCAATGTAGGAAGCTCCCAGATCGTCATTGTGACCCTGGTACAGCATCAGGGAGTCTAGCCAATCCCTACCCTGCAGTGCAATGTGCACACACATGTACAAGTGATCTCTGCTGAAGCCCCATTTGCTGCTCCTTGGTCGTCATGATATCTGTAAAAATTGATTGATTGATTTAACCTATGTGTGGCAATGTTGTCATGGGAACCGTGCATGGGATGATTAACCTCCAGGTGTTTCTTCCAGGGTGCCATCTATGGCATGGCCCAGTCCATACCTGACCGGTCCATGGTGACTGAGGTCTCCCACGGCTTCCTCGACTGTCTGTACAGCACAAACGTCCATTCATCAGAGCAGAGACATTTGAATGGCATCTCCAAGGCCCAATGAGCAGTTCTGTGTGGCACCAGGCCAACCTCTCGCTCCCAAATCCTCATCCGATCGATGCCTTATGCTACCTTAGATTCACCTTGTCCTGTAATGTGTGGAAGCACAAACTCCAGTACTGTGTCACAGACACCTGCCTGCCTTGAAGAGGAAAGCTGTGAGGTTTCTCTTTTGGCTGCCCTCCCCTCCAGCAATCAGGGGGGTTTGGCTTGCTTTACTATGGCTTTTAACATGGGGCGGGGGGGATGGCCAGACTATCGTCCACACTGATCTTTGAGCACATTTCTCATGTAAAACAGACTAAACAGACAATGTTCTTTAAATCACGGTTCTGTAGTTATTTGCTCGTAGCGTAATCAGGAGTGTGCAACCTCAACAGGGTCAGCGAGCTCTGTGTGCTGAGAGCAAGTAGCCATTTTGTCTTGGGCTCCCAACAAGAAACAAGGGCTCTGGAGATTTCTGCCTGTTTAGAGATGGATAATATCACTGTGCTGAATGCCTTATTCAATGCTCTGCCTGTTTTCTTCTAGTTTGGATAATTTTAGGTCTCTGAAGTTTCATGAGACATGAGACTACAAAGCTAAGCTAAGCGAGCCAAGGGTCTGTGGGCATGTTCACTGCAGAAACTGATCAGCACCTTAAATGTACAGCATGGTGTCATGCCACGCGCTTGTTCTAAGAACTGGGTTTTCCAAAATCATTTTCTAAATTGCCCATGAAATGTGCTATTATGAAGTAAAGTCAATATCTATCTATTTTAAAGATTTAGGAGGATGGGAGAGATTTTTTTTTGTTGAGTACTTTAATGTTCCAGTTTTCTGATAGATGAATGGATGAATTACTTTCCAGTTTCAATTCCAATTGAATGTAATGTATTGATATTAATTTAAAATATTTACAATATTGTTTACTGGAGCAAAATAGCTTCCACAAGGATAGAGGAGCTCAGCAGAAAAAGAATCTTGAAGCAGATGGTGAGGCTTTGTGAAAATGGTCATTTTTATGCAGTACATCATTCTAAATGTCAGGGTACACAAGTGTTGGAATTTGATTTTAAAATGCTGCATTTTAGAATCCTGTCTTTGCAGAAGTGCCTTTTGAAATGGCTTTAGGGCTGATCAGTACTCAGGAATGAAGAGGACAGTCACTACCAGGAAAACAGTCCCTCTGTCTTAGGAGAGGCATTTGTAGTGTGGGGGTGTATGGGGGGTGCAGCTGAAGGGCTTTAATGAGCCTGAAACCTGAACGACTTGCAGGGCCTTTAAGGGCCTTTAACTAATCACTTCATTAACAGCATTATATATAATTAATATATAATATTAAAATACATCATATAAGAATGAATTTCACAAGCTAATCAAACTGGGATTTCCAGAACTATAATCACATAAATTTTTTTTCATTGTTAAATTAAAGTGAAAACTTCCTTCCCCACTTGTAAAATCAATAACAGCGAAGCAAATTATGTTGAAAGATTGTCTGTCTGTAATTAGGCACATGACAAGTGATGTCTATTTGGGCAAAAGTAACTTTTGCAGTGCATTTCTGTCAACCTCTATATACACACCACGGTGTCGTTAAATCTGTCAATGTCCTACCGGACGACTCATAGCAGATTTTCTCAGGCTTCTGATTGGCTGATAAATATTAAGACAATAACACACAAGTTGGATGTCATTATCTTTTTAAAATTTTAGGTGGAATTTCTTACCAGGTCTGGATTATATAAATTGCTAGATAATTCCCTATACTGTGTTAATTCTGGCTCATATAATGATGAATAGCGCCCCCCACCCCCACCGCATTATTGCTTGTGATGTTTTTTTTTCGTGCAACTCTGTAATTCCTGAATGTGAAACCTGTGTGTAACCACTATGTGTCAAGGATGAATAACACACATAATGTCTACTATTTCAATATGTACTTTTTGTTTTGAAAATGTATCACAATATGGCGGTTGGCAAGAACTGTTTTTCTTTGACAATTTTTTTTTTAATTATTACTGAAATAGGGGACCAGGAAATGGATGCATTAATGTCACTTTTTGCCATTTTAAAATTTTAAACAGTTAAAATGCAAAAAGGATTTTTTCCACATATTTTGATTAAATCATATGGAAGTAGAAATGTTTTCAAAATCCTGAAACAGCTTAACTGAATTTTAACTTGAAACTCAACTTGAAATTCCCTTGATGATGGTGGCAAGCTCGTCCAATGGCGTTGTGATCTCAGAGTGACTGACACAGAGACTCTCCAGTCACCTCTACACATTAAACATCAGGTACTTCCTGTGGTCTCTTAGTGACCAAGTAGCATTCACCTGAATGCCTTCAGTGTTTAGTCATTTAGTAAACAAGATAGTCTGGCAGCAAATCCCGAATGGCCAGGTCCTGTAAATAGGCGTGGCTTACATAAATTAGCAAGTTTTGTACAAATTGTTGTCCCTGGTGGGGAAGAATAAAAATGTAATTACAAGCATGTTCTTCAAGTCAGTGTGGCTTATTCTAACAGGGCACCTGCTGTGGTTGCTATAGCCTGCTGTTGTAATTAGAGAAAGAGTAACAAAACATGAATATATTGAAAGAAAACTGATGTTGCTTTGGTCAAAGACAGGTGGCATATGAAGAGCAGAAAACCTTCCAGCACTTTCACACTGCTCTGTCTATCAGCCTTCTAGGAATAGGCCCTCGATCTATTATCTATGGTCCAGCTTGGGGTGTGATGCTGAAATTCCGCATGGCCATTGGCTAAAGAGAAAGAATGAAGCTTAGCTTGGGGTCCCAAGTGAATGAGGAATGAAGTTGATGCATAATATGAGTCTGGTTTTATTTCCCACAAGCACTGCACACATTATCAGGGATGCATTTAAGATAACAGTTTAAGAGGCATTTGCGTGAAGCAGCACAGTGGACACCAGTATGGGGCCTCCAGAGAAGTCAATGGAACATCCTACATGCCAAGGCCTAAACCCTGCCCACTGCTGACTGTTTCTGAAAAGTGCAGTAACATTTGCTAGTTTTATGAAAATAACTTTAACCTTTGACCCTAGAAGGTTCCTTCTTCCTATATGGTTGGTACCATTTGACTTAGATCAGGGGTCTCCAACTCCGGTCCTGGAGAGCTACTATCCAGTCGGTTTTCTATCCTACCTGGCCCTGATATTTACCTGAGAACAGGTGTGGCTCATCAGAAGCGAGTATGATAGAAAACCTACTGGACGGTAGCTCTCCAGGACCAGAGTTGGAGACCCCTGATTTAGATGATCGTAGCCCAGGAAATTAACCAGACAGCATCTTTTAGCCTACCTATGACAGAGTAGGAACCAGTGGGATTTGAGCTTTTGAGGATTTTCTTGCTAGTTGGGATTGCCCACAATATTACACAATTCATTAATGGGCACAGCAGATGGCTCAGACGACAGACACCTGGTCGATGAAGGTGGCCAGCGTGATGTCCCTCTGTGAGAGGCCACCACATTCATGTGTGCTCAGCGTGATCTGAACCTGAGGGAACAGATACATGGTATCAAAAATAGGGAGTGTATTTGAGTAGGAGACCAGCCAGCATGTTAAGCTACTGTGAAACTTTACTGATTCCTGTGGGGAAATTCTCTTTACACCTCCCCCAACTTGCTCGCTGTAGGTGAGAGCATGCTGGTTGTGTAGGGCAGCCACCTGCTGCGGCATCCAGGGAGCTGGGGATTAAAGGCCTTGCTCAAGAACCCGCACATGTGGTGAGGCTGGGCTCAAACAGGCAACCTTCTGATCACAGGCGCAAATGCTGAGCCCACTAGGCAACATGCTGGCCCCCTTGGGACAGGGTTAAGAGGCAGGTTTCTACAAGAGGTCCTATAAGGTATCCGTTTATATTGCCAGAAGGTCCAGTTGGGCTGTTCTCTAAACCGAATTTTTGCTTGAATGGTAGAAGTCCAAAAACTTTAATATTTTTTAATAAGTAATTTATAATGTTTGTCTTATTCAGACATTCCCTGCCTTGTTCCTATAGCATCTAGGATAGGCTCCAGACCCCCCACGACCCTGAATATGACAAGCAGTTTCAGAAAATGGATGGATGGATGGGTCTCATTCAGACTGCAGTACAATCAGGTGCTACTTTAAACAGAGGAAACACTAATTAATTATGTTTGTCTTATTCAGACTGCAGTACAAACACTGTGCTTCTTTAAACCAAGGAAAGCCCAATTTGCTGATTTTCAGATGAGAGCGAGTTACTGGGCTCTTTTCAAAATATTTCTGCCAATCTGACGCCCACCATGTTACCTTGTTATAGACGTTAAACCACTCAGGGTGGTGGTCCATCTTCTCTGCCTGCAAAGCCACCCTGGACATGAAGCCAAAGGCCTGGGGAAGGGAGGGAGGGAGATGGGCCTGAGGCCTGAGTCTCAATGATGTGCCATTCAATTGGGGGAGGAGCTAGTTATCTAATGACTTTATCAATTAGCTTATACGCAGCTCCTAGGAGATAAACCTGTGACCATCTGTGAACAGACAGTGTTTAATTACAGGTCCACAGAGACAATAAAATAACTTGGAAAGCACCAGGTGCAATGACTGACCTTATGTGTGTATTATTAAATGTGTACTTCTCTGGCTACCACTAGCTTTTCGTACCTGGTTGAAGTCTTTGAAGATGAACTCTTTGTAAATGGCATCTCTCCCCCCCACCTCCACCCACTGCGCGTTCCTCAGCAGTGGGAGAAGATGGCCCCTCTCCTCCTCCGTCAGCGTCTGGATCTTTCCGGCCTGGGACAGAGCCGACACACTCCTGAGCAGCTGCTGCATCCCCAGTGAGCCACCTCACCGAGACAGCCAGGAGTCTCCCTGCTTATATCGTATTCATAGTTTTCTGTCTTAAGACAGAAATCCTTTAATTCTTGCTGTTTTAAGGTGGCAGTGGGCTGATTTTTATATGGCTCTTGAAATTAAGGTCCAAGTCCACTAAAACACTAAAACCTACAAATCAAACCAGAAATCTTGGTGTAGTTCTGGACTTGGACCTTAATTTCAACAGCTACATAAAGACAATTACAAAATCAGTCTACTACCACCTTAAAAACATAGCAAAAAATAAAGGATTTCTGTCTAAACAAGATACAGAAAAGTTTGTTCATGCATTTATTTTTAGGAGGCTAGAATATTGTCTTCGCAGGTCTTGGCAAAAAATCACTCAGACACCTGCAGCTCATCCAGAATGCTGCCGCCAGGGTCCTCATTAACACCAAGAAAGTGGAGCACATCACACCATCCTTAAACCACTCCACCGGCTTCCTGTGCATTATAGGATTGATTTAAAAATATTGTTACTTGTGTATAAAGCACTAAATGGTCTTGGGCCCAAATATATTTCTGATTTACTTGAACATTATGAGGCATCCAGACCCCTGAGATCACCTGGGAAAGTGTCCCCAGAACCAAGATAAAACAAAGTGAAGCAGCGTTCAGTTACTATGCTCCCCGTTTGTGGAACAAGCTCCCTGAAGACCTGAGGTCTGATAAAACATTTAAATAAGGGCTTAAAATATTTGCTGTACTTTTTCAATAAATTAAATCAGCTAAATCATACAATATAACTTCTTTTCAGTTAACCATTTGGCTTTTAGGTTTTTTTAATGTAATTTTATTATTATTATTATTATTAAAAATAATAATAACAATAATTTGTCTTTTAAGTATGATTTTAATGTCTTTTATTTAAATGTGCTCTTCTGCCTTTGTAGAGCACTTTGCCTTGTGTCTGAATTGTGCTATATAAATAAACTTGGCTTGCTTTCTTGCCTTGCCTAGTGTCCACAAGCACCGCTTATGGATGGAGCTCGGATTTAAGGGTGGGAACCACATTTCACCTCATACCAAACATCCTAACTGCTGTGTGCTGAAACATCCCATTAAATTAAATTTCTCCACTACCATCCATAAGGTCACCTGTGGTTCGGTGGTGACACCAGGGGAATATGGGTTTGTAGCCTCACTGTCCAGACCAATCGGCTTGCACAAAGTGGTGATTGCTCATTGGTAAAATGCCACAGGTAGATTTCACAAGGACGACAAACAACAAAGGTCAGCATGATGGCCACTGGCATTGTCACATTATCATACCAATCGAGAGCAAGGATTCCTGGGGGCTGTTTGTGGAAAAGCTTCATAAAATAACCAGCAAGCTGACTCTGTGGATCTGCCTGTCACTTTCTCTGCTCAGCAGCTACATCTCCAGCTTAACTGCATTTGAGCTCTTCTTTGTTTACTAAGAGCTTGGGGTGTTCTGGTGAGCAGGATTCTGTATCCAATCCAAAGGGGAGGTTTCTGAAGCAAGGGCTCTGATTGGTTGTAGTAGACTGTGTCTGTTAGCAATTACAGTACATGCTGCACTGCCGATTTTATTGGAGATGCTTCCTTCAGCTATTGTTCGTACAATGTGATGAACCTAAAGCAGTCCCCAGCTCTACCTCTCCCCTGTCATTATTGCAGGTTAAAAAATAATCTATACTGAAGGTTCCAGATTCAAAATGAAAAATAAATACTATATGCAGGAATAAGGATGCACATTAAAAACGATGATTATAGATGTGCCCACTATACAGCTGTAGAAAGTTCTCTGAACAGAGCAAACACGCATCACAGAAAGGTCAGATGGTCTGATTCATCATTGAGCCCATGGACGTGCATAATGTATGGAGCCATAGCAACCAGGCTGAGTGCCTTTTCAGCTTGAACATGTGCGGCTGATGCTGCTGCAGCAAAGCAGAATGACGGCAGGTACGAATTATGCAGTCATGCATATAAACATATTTGCTTACGATGTTCATGATTGGGACCACAACCATAACCATGTCAAACGTTCATAACTGCCATTATAGCACAGTAAAACAATCTGTAACACTGGAAGGTGAAGCAACCAGAGAATTACTGTGAACTGACAACCAAGTTTTATTCTTAAGGATAAAAGAGCAGTGAAACACCCCACCTCTTCAACAAGTGCATCAGGCACTGTCTCTAAAGCTCTCTGTTGACAGAGAACATTTCACCATAAATTTCACAAGAAAAAGGGAACAGGCAGACGCACTTACCATCCTGGAATCGCACATCTGTGTTTATGTGTATTCTCAGCTCAGTCGCTCATACCTCTGCCCCTGCCTGAGTCACAAAAGCACCGACAGCCTGTTCAGCAGCTGGATTTGATCATGAGGCCCCACGTGGCTGCCTCTGCAGAAGCCTGAGCAAAAATGCATGTAACAAAGATATGTTGAACAGGCAATTTTCAGGGCAGTTGCAGGAGCCCAAAGCTGCATTTCAGACCTTAGGATCCTGAGGGCTGAAAAATTTCTGTGACAATCCTTCAATTTAAATACCAAAACTTAATTATAAAAAGTCATCAGTTTTTTCAGTGAGGATATTTACTAAAAACATAGGGTGATTCATTCTTGTGTTCTGTGAACCGTAAACACAGTCTTAATTTTGATTAAATGATAACTCATGTTACTTGGCCAAGTGTTCAAAGCAAAAAGCCATGAAAAATTTTATCTGGTTATCCCCTGTAGTTTGTTACAGTGTTATAAGTCAGTACAGGCACAAGCAAATTACTAGTTAATGAAATGGAAAAACAGGATGAACTAATGAATGAAAGGGACAGTAATGATGAATTAATACTGCATATTGTGTGAGAAAGAAGAGGCAGATAATCTGATAAGCTATAAACAGGGGGGGGCAACCTGTCAGGAGAGTGAGGGGACTTTTCAGAGTGACATGCTTAGCTGTTCTCAGACATCAGACTAATTGCACAATGAAGCAACAAATCGGTAGAAAAAGGCAGGGTTTCCTTTGATCCATCACTAAGCCATTGCTGTATGTGATAATATTCTGCTAGTGTCATCTTTGTTCCTGCCTAACTTCATTTTATTACCCAGATAAAAGCATGCTCTGCGTAGATATAATGACAAAGGTCTCTGAAAATAGCAAGTTATATCCTGTCATTAGTTCTGAGATAACAGGGACTTAAATGATTTTAAATACCACCTGTCCAGCTCCTTGGGGGGGGGGGGGGGGGGGGGGAGGCAACATGTGACACTATAGTGAAAATCTTGGCCACCTGTATTAGAGATTACATATTACATTGACATTAAAGTACAATTGGAAATGTTCTGAAAGAGGAATAGATGGTTCGGCTGTAATAATCATATGTAGCAATTTTCCTGCCAAATGGAGTGGCTCATTTCCCCTAACTGTCTAATGTTTTACATCATACACAGTCATTAATATTCTCTCTAATGAGTAAAATTCCATTCTGTGTGTTAAATATTAGTGAAGTGACACAGAGCACAAGCTATGCCTCTGAGATGAAGAATGGTGCCCTTTGAACTTTGATCATTAGTGCAGCTATTAAGTAGGAAATATCCCCTCAGCACCATTTCAGTTGCAAATGGAGCCTGAAGTTGTGAAATTCCTTGTTCCGCTTGTTCTCCTTGTTCTTACATATGGGACTGAAGGAGGACCATCAAACACAGGTAGGACATCTGCAGGAGCATCTTCTGCTGGATGAAACCTAACAGAGGTCTTACTGACATCAATACAGGCCAGGCTGGTAGCTGATGTAAGACTTTTATGGGACTTGAAAATCGCTTTCTTTGTACTGTTACTGTTACATCTACTAGATCATTGGGTCTTTTGAGTATTAAATTAACTGAATTGAAGATTGAGACCAAAAACACCAGTGCTACATATCACAGTAATTTATATTGTAGACTGTGACCACGCTATTGAATGTTCGGATCTTGGATTTGTGTTGTAGACCATGACCAAGCTATTGAACGTTCTGATCTTGGGTTTGTGTTGTAGACCATGACCACTCCGTTGAACGGTCAGATCTTCCCCTGAGCGTTGATGAGGCTCTTCTTACAGTTCACAATCAGCTGCCAAGTGGACTCAAAGTCTCCTATGTCTCTGATTACTGCTATAAGGTACTGATCAAATGTGTACTGAACAGGAGTGGGATGGGACTATTCATTTAGCCTAATAAGATGACATTTTGTTGCACTCCATTTATTTGTCTTGTTTAATGGACAAGAGTTAGGGTTAGAGCTAGGGGATAGGGGATACATACACAACAATAATGCACTCTTAATTACTTAAACATGTAACAAATGCAATGTTTTTTATCGACAGCTGTTAGTTACATCACACTGAATTAAACTTAGAAAATGCTTGTGCAAAAATAAACGAGGATTTTCTTAAATAAGCTCAGTAATATATAATACACGTTTTAGTTAATTTCTAGGCAAAGCATTCCCAGCAAAGCAGTGCTCAATGACACAGATTTTAAAGTTTGCTGGACTGCATTGTCATAATTTAGCAGGGCTGAGAGAAAGTGAGAGCTCCCCTAGTGGCTATAGGAGAGCATTTCCCTAGAGCAGATATAATGGATGGCAGTCTCATTGCTTTCAGACCACAACTTGGGATAGAAGAACAAATCAAATCATTTTGCTCAATTAATATTTATTAGGCTTAATTTTTGGAAAGCCGTTCTTAATATTTAGAAACCCACCGCAATTGAGGATGGAATGCCAAAGACATTAGCCTCTACCATTTTTTGTTGTTAATTATCCTTTGGGGTACTTTTGCTTGCCTGAGTTAATTGGTAAATGCCAATTGATCCTTTGCCTTTAGTATAATAGTGGTACTTATAGCTTTGTTACTACAATGGAATCCTGAAGGATTCTCTTCGATAGGTTGGAATATCAAGGGTTAGTATGAAAATGTCTTAAAATATTTTTCGAGTCCAGTTTTTCTATTCCATCCATGGTTCATTCCCATATGTAAACCTTATTGGCCTCTCGCACAGGAATCCCACCAGGAAGGTCAAAGTCTCTCAACCAGTCACTGACCAGCACACAAGGGCAGATTCCACCAAGATCCATATCTGTGGCTATAGTCAGCAGCCAATATGTTTTATTGCATCTGGGGTTTTATACTTTTGCCCTTCAACATCATCGCAGTGGGTAAAAAAAATTGTTAAAACAAAGGCAGGACTATGTCATGCTATACAAATATACATCCACCACCACTGGTCTACAGAGGAGTGGGTGGTTCCAGGAGCTGCACAGCAAAGGGCATCACAACTCTCCTAACACCTTTCTGTATATATTACCCATCCTCCAAGGCTACAAGTAGTGATAAAAATAACAAGATAACGTTTCATGAATCATTCTCTGTATTTTTTTACTTTAAACGTGAAAATCTGCACCATTGACTTTAGGCTACATGTGACTGTCACGGCAGATGCATGACAGTTGGAAGCCCTGTTATCAGCATTAATTACTGTAGCTAGTTAATAATTTCAGTTAACACAATGGAATATATTTCTTTAATTATAAACTAGCATTTAATGTTTTAAATGTTTACATCGGAACACTATCATGCCTGAAGTTTTGTAATTACCAAAATACACATAGCAGTAGACACACTTGTCACTTGCCATGTTATTGAGTTGTATCTGAACTACAAGTTCAAGTACTTTTACTTTAATACTTATTTACATGCAATAGAAAAGCCAATGGGTCTTCTACATTTTTGCTTGTTTATTTGTACTTTTACTTAAGTCAATTGTTACCACATACATGAATGTATAATTCATCACCTGTGATTCTCTCCTAGTGTCTCCAGCAGCCATTGGTCATCACTGATGATGGTAACAGCAATTCATCGGTAGTCATCAGCACCCGTCATGCGCTGACTCTGTTTGTGAGTGTGGAAAATGCACTCGTCTGCAGGTAGTGTAGCTCCAGCCTCCTCCTCCCCCCCCCCCCCAACAAATATCATTTTGTCCTAGACTGAAAGCTTGTTGAAGATTTATTTGAGGGGTTAAAGGAAGCTGCCATTCTGTGATGGTGAAACACTTCCCTTTAGATACTGAATGAGGCTTCCATAGTGATGTGGAGGTTTTGTTCCTGGAGCTGTACAAGACACATGAAACTGGGGCTTGAGGTTTCATTTGGAGCACTTCCTTAACCAGCTCAGCAGGATCTGATTTCTGAGGAGAGTGCTGCTTCTTCTACCTGGATGTGGTGAATGACTTCTTCAGATCAATGTTGAGGTTCCTTAGCAGGCGACTATTGATCAGGTCCTTAGAGCACTCTAAGTGATAGCATGATATGTCTGCCCTGCTCAGTCAATATGGCTGCCTGATGTACCTTTTGGCGGAATGAGACCAGAGCTGCTGAGGCTGCTGTGAGCGGTTGCATGGCTCTCATACGGCCTCTAGGCGTCACTGTTGAGCTTGTTAAATCACAGAGTTAGATTGCAAGAAAAAAGGCATAGAACAGCGATTCTTAACCAGTGAGTTGAGACCCAAATTTGGGTAACAGCAAGTTCTGAAAGGGCTGCAAGGCAGAATTGGAAATAGAAACGTTTTAAAACATGTTAGTTCCTATGCTCGTCCATTATCAGTTTTCCTCTTCCCAGTCCTAGAATTAACCTAGGCCAATATATACGGGTCTTGGGTCTGCAACTGCTTAGTGCAAAACTAGTGCTAAGCTTGCTCATTTGACTTCCTCTGCTGGCCCCTGGAGGATGGGCTCCCCCTTTGAGTTTGGTTCCTCCCAAGATTTCTTCCTTCTAGGGAGTTTTTCCCTTGCCACTGTCGTCTCTGGCTTGCTCACTGGGGGATTTGGGCGGGGATAATGTAAAGCTCTCTGAGACAATGTAATAATGTGGAAATGTGCTATACAAATAAAATTGAATTGAATTGAATACTCAACCAGTCCAAGAAGCAAACCACAGATGCTTAATTTAAAATTTACTGACATCCAGATTTGTGCAACAGGCATTGATTGGCATAAATTGCAGAGTGCACTGCATGCTTGATCATAGGGTTAATTTAGACCTATACTTGATAAAGGGTTGTGAATGAGCTTGCATGGTAAAAATTGGGTCGCAGTGCAAAAATGTTGAGAACCACTGGCATAGAACATGATTCAGTCTGTTGAGTTCCTTGGGAGGACCGTCTTGATAAATACTTAGATCTGTGATGCCATTTTGGGTTAAGTATTGGGTGTCAAATGAAACTGGATGCAAAGAGTTTTACAGCGAGGTTGAGGTATTACTGGTGGCTGTTATCCTGATGACAGATTATTTTGTCTATCTCAGCTGGACTGAGTTGTATGGAGAAGCAGGACATTATGCAGTGTGGGTGCAGCAAAGGAGGGAACCAAACATCACCTGCTCTGTAACCGTGGACAAGGAACCCATTAACAGTTATATCCGTGAGTGACTTTCCCTATTGAATGGCAGAGATAGCAGTGTGTGAATTACTCTGAATTACTGTTACTATATTTTAAATGCTGAGCTCAGCTACTTGCTCATCAAAGTATTGATTTAAACCCCTTCATTGCTCTGACCCTAACCTTAACCATTTATTGCTCTGACCATATCCCTAACCCTTTACTGCTCTGACCGTAACCTCAACCCTAACCCTTTGCTGCTCTGACAGGGATGATAAAAAGGATAATACACTTTCATTAAAACATTTTCATAAAAGTATTAAGTATCAAATGTTTCATTCCTCCATTCTCCAAATGCTGATCCAGGTCAAGGTCATTGTTGGGTTGGGGGGGGGGGGGGCTGCAAGTCAATAGCTGAGGCTGCCGCTCATAAACGGGGGAGTCATTGTGACCATCCATCCGGAACAGTCCAGCGTGCTGTCTGCCAAAGCCNTTTTTTTTTTTTTTATGTAACTCAAGTACAAAAATAATTCCCTCTACTCAGTTTTTGCTCCACTACTATGTCTTTTCCTCACACTTCTGTGTAACTTCCAAGTTAGTGGCGGTGCTTGTGGTCAACCAATAATCAAGCTGTCACTGTAAGCTCCTCCCCAGTAGTTTGTATTTGAACGAAAGGTGCCTAGACTAGAGTAGGTACTAATGAAGAGTTTGAGAACTGACTCCAAGGAACTGCAATTGGGCTGAGTTCCTGCGGTGTGAACACAACAAGTTTCTGGTTCTGAAAAAACGTTCTGATTCCAGGAAAAAGTTTCTGCGGTGTGAAAGTGCCTAATATTTTTGCTCATTGGTGTATGAGCAAATATGGTGTATTCATACATGTATTCTTTCATGTATTAATGTGACTGCTTTGTCAGTGACTAATGGACTACTCTCTCTGCTTCCCTTTCAGTATGGCTATGCCCCCAAAGGCTCATCTGTCATCCTCTACAGGGAGCAGAAGTACCGTCATTACCAGTACTTTGTGGCCCCCGACTGGCAGGGGGGCATTTATGCCTCACCTTCAGTGGCCGGCTCTCGTCCAGGGGGCATTATTGCTGCCTGTTGGGCCACTATGATGTATATGGGGGAGGACGGATATGTGGATGCCACCAGGAAGGTCATTGAAATAGCACGCTTCATTGAGGCCGAGTAAGTGCCCTGTAGGTGTGAATGGACTTATCCAGGGAAGGCTAAAATCCATGTACCCTATATCATCAACTCTTACCCCAGTGTGTGTGGAGGGACAGTGTGGCCCATCTTCCACTCTGTTTATTTATCTTCCATAGGATCCGGAAAGTGGATGGTGTATTTGTCTTTGGGAAGCCAGAGGTCTCTGTCGTGGCTCTTGGTTCAAAGGTCTTTGACATATTTCGGTTGTCCAATGCTCTCACCTCCAAAGGGTGGAACCTTAACACCCTGCAGTTTCCATCAAGGTAACATCCAGGACTTTTTTGCCATACTTCAACTCCGGTTGGGTATAAATGTGTTAATTAGTTAGAGTTAATGGTGAAATAATCAGTATTCGATATAGATTGGACTAGTCAAACCATTTACTAATACACTGAAGTTCTGTCCATGCCATACTTTTGTCTACAGTATCCACATCTGTGTGACATTACTGCACACTAAACCAGGGGTGGCCACGCAGTTTATCAGGGATGTCAAAGAACAAGTGGCAATCATCATGAAGAACCCCAAGGAAAAGACCACAGGCATGGTGAGCAGAGGGGAGGACTCATGGGGATGCTTCAGAGATAGGGGGGGTGGGGTGGGAGTTGGGGTTGTTGCATTCATTTAATCTGATAAAAACAGAATGAAACTTATAGATAAATGTCTTGGAAGGTCCTAAATGTCACCATTGATATTGTGACATATGGCACATTTTACTCATGTTCTGGATAGTTGGGGCTGATCTCAATGTAGGAAGCTCCCAGATCGTCATTGTGACCCTGGTACAGCATCAGGGAGTCTAGCCAATCCCTACCCTGCAGTGCAATGTGCACACACATGTACAAGTGATCTCTGCTGAAGCCCCATTTGCTGCTCCTTGGTCGTCATGATATCTGTAAAAATTGATTGATTGATTTAACCTATGTGTGGCAATGTTGTCATGGGAACCGTGCATGGGATGATTAACCTCCAGGTGTTTCTTCCAGGGTGCCATCTATGGCATGGCCCAGTCCATACCTGACCGGTCCATGGTGACTGAGGTCTCCCACGGCTTCCTCGACTGTCTGTACAGCACAAACGTCCATTCATCAGAGCAGAGACATTTGAATGGCATCTCCAAGGCCCAATGAGCAGTTCTGTGTGGCACCAGGCCAACCTCTCGCTCCCAAATCCTCATCCGATCGATGCCTTATGCTACCTTAGATTCACCTTGTCCTGTAATGTGTGGAAGCACAAACTCCAGTACTGTGTCACAGACACCTGCCTGCCTTGAAGAGGAAAGCTGTGAGGTTTCTCTTTTGGCTGCCCTCCCCTCCAGCAATCAGGGGGGTTTGGCTTGCTTTACTATGGCTTTTAACATGGGGCGGGGGGGATGGCCAGACTATCGTCCACACTGATCTTTGAGCACATTTCTCATGTAAAACAGACTAAACAGACAATGTTCTTTAAATCACGGTTCTGTAGTTATTTGCTCGTAGCGTAATCAGGAGTGTGCAACCTCAACAGGGTCAGCGAGCTCTGTGTGCTGAGAGCAAGTAGCCATTTTGTCTTGGGCTCCCAACAAGAAACAAGGGCTCTGGAGATTTCTGCCTGTTTAGAGATGGATAATATCACTGTGCTGAATGCCTTATTCAATGCTCTGCCTGTTTTCTTCTAGTTTGGATAATTTTAGGTCTCTGAAGTTTCATGAGACATGAGACTACAAAGCTAAGCTAAGCGAGCCAAGGGTCTGTGGGCATGTTCACTGCAGAAACTGATCAGCACCTTAAATGTACAGCATGGTGTCATGCCACGCGCTTGTTCTAAGAACTGGGTTTTCCAAAATCATTTTCTAAATTGCCCATGAAATGTGCTATTATGAAGTAAAGTCAATATCTATCTATTTTAAAGATTTAGGAGGATGGGAGAGATTTTTTTTTGTTGAGTACTTTAATGTTCCAGTTTTCTGATAGATGAATGGATGAATTACTTTCCAGTTTCAATTCCAATTGAATGTAATGTATTGATATTAATTTAAAATATTTACAATATTGTTTACTGGAGCAAAATAGCTTCCACAAGGATAGAGGAGCTCAGCAGAAAAAGAATCTTGAAGCAGATGGTGAGGCTTTGTGAAAATGGTCATTTTTATGCAGTACATCATTCTAAATGTCAGGGTACACAAGTGTTGGAATTTGATTTTAAAATGCTGCATTTTAGAATCCTGTCTTTGCAGAAGTGCCTTTTGAAATGGCTTTAGGGCTGATCAGTACTCAGGAATGAAGAGGACAGTCACTACCAGGAAAACAGTCCCTCTGTCTTAGGAGAGGCATTTGTAGTGTGGGGGTGTATGGGGGGTGCAGCTGAAGGGCTTTAATGAGCCTGAAACCTGAACGACTTGCAGGGCCTTTAAGGGCCTTTAACTAATCACTTCATTAACAGCATTATATATAATTAATATATAATATTAAAATACATCATATAAGAATGAATTTCACAAGCTAATCAAACTGGGATTTCCAGAACTATAATCACATAAATTTTTTTTCATTGTTAAATTAAAGTGAAAACTTCCTTCCCCACTTGTAAAATCAATAACAGCGAAGCAAATTATGTTGAAAGATTGTCTGTCTGTAATTAGGCACATGACAAGTGATGTCTATTTGGGCAAAAGTAACTTTTGCAGTGCATTTCTGTCAACCTCTATATACACACCACGGTGTCGTTAAATCTGTCAATGTCCTACCGGACGACTCATAGCAGATTTTCTCAGGCTTCTGATTGGCTGATAAATATTAAGACAATAACACACAAGTTGGATGTCATTATCTTTTTAAAATTTTAGGTGGAATTTCTTACCAGGTCTGGATTATATAAATTGCTAGATAATTCCCTATACTGTGTTAATTCTGGCTCATATAATGATGAATAGCGCCCCCCACCCCCACCGCATTATTGCTTGTGATGTTTTTTTTTCGTGCAACTCTGTAATTCCTGAATGTGAAACCTGTGTGTAACCACTATGTGTCAAGGATGAATAACACACATAATGTCTACTATTTCAATATGTACTTTTTGTTTTGAAAATGTATCACAATATGGCGGTTGGCAAGAACTGTTTTTCTTTGACAATTTTTTTTTTAATTATTACTGAAATAGGGGACCAGGAAATGGATGCATTAATGTCACTTTTTGCCATTTTAAAATTTTAAACAGTTAAAATGCAAAAAGGATTTTTTCCACATATTTTGATTAAATCATATGGAAGTAGAAATGTTTTCAAAATCCTGAAACAGCTTAACTGAATTTTAACTTGAAACTCAACTTGAAATTCCCTTGATGATGGTGGCAAGCTCGTCCAATGGCGTTGTGATCTCAGAGTGACTGACACAGAGACTCTCCAGTCACCTCTACACATTAAACATCAGGTACTTCCTGTGGTCTCTTAGTGACCAAGTAGCATTCACCTGAATGCCTTCAGTGTTTAGTCATTTAGTAAACAAGATAGTCTGGCAGCAAATCCCGAATGGCCAGGTCCTGTAAATAGGCGTGGCTTACATAAATTAGCAAGTTTTGTACAAATTGTTGTCCCTGGTGGGGAAGAATAAAAATGTAATTACAAGCATGTTCTTCAAGTCAGTGTGGCTTATTCTAACAGGGCACCTGCTGTGGTTGCTATAGCCTGCTGTTGTAATTAGAGAAAGAGTAACAAAACATGAATATATTGAAAGAAAACTGATGTTGCTTTGGTCAAAGACAGGTGGCATATGAAGAGCAGAAAACCTTCCAGCACTTTCACACTGCTCTGTCTATCAGCCTTCTAGGAATAGGCCCTCGATCTATTATCTATGGTC